CTGTGACGAGAGTCAACAACTTGCTGAAACATTTCTTACGATTTGCAATTCGTACGCGACAACAAAACGGCATTCTGGCGAGATCATTGACTTCGCTAGCTTAAGTAACCTGTCGCAATTCGGCTGGTTTGGGTCGGGTCGACCGGTCGACCCAACCAAGCCGACCCGGTTCGGGCATATCCAACCAGACCCGGTTGGGCCAACCTGGTCGGCTAGATCCGCGATGCAGCCTTCGTAGAAACGAGAAATCGGGGGTGGTCGACCTGGCCTCTTCGGATCGCAAATCGTCGTTAACGATTCAGTACTAGGGTCCTTCCCCGGACGGACACATAAGAATCAACTACGGATTGGCAGCGCAATTGGTGGTGAAATCCAGTATTTGAGAATGCTCATTAATATTTGTAGCCCTGGTTTCAAGTGTTGAGCTTGGGCCCAGCCCGGACGCATTAAGTGTTAGGTTAGTGTCAAACTGTTATATTACTTGTGTTGTGTAGACTGTAGTGGGGTAGCCCATAAGGGGTACAACCCAATTAGAGTTAGTTCTTGTACCAACTTCCTACTCAATGCATGCATTCCCGTTCAGTATTATGACAATTAGGTCTCAAAACGTAAATCCAAGGGCACGCCCGGGGCACCTCAGCCTTCCAAGCCCTGTCCTCGGACCAATCGACAGCCCTCCCCTTGACATGTGTGGGTTGTGTTTGTTCTTTTGTTTTAGAGGGCCTTCCTGAGATGGGGCCCTATCGGTTTGCAGCACCATTGGTCCAGCGTGGCAGAATTCGATATTGGTCACACCCACCACACGTGCCATGCGACGGGAGTCGATTGGCGAAAAACAAGAAAGATCTGGTACAACCACGCGTCTGCATCGAACGTTCACGCGACAGTTTTCAACGGCCACATGCTCCCATGAGACGGTCCAAAACACACAGTGAGGGTACCGATAAACATTTTAGGGTCCTCACCGGAATTGCATTGTGCTATTTGTATGCGCGCCAGATGATGTTCATTGTTTTTTGTTATGTGACAGTCTAGCTCGACTAACGGGGCTACGATGTAATTGCGCAGTACAGACTTTCGCCACGTCTCGCCAACTTTGAGCTGGAAGGGACATGTGACTCGCCTGGAAGGCGCAGCTATCATTCCGTCAGGTTTCGAAGAAATTGTCTCGTCAGATCGCGCGGCGCGGGAGGCGATCGCTGATTGCGTCAGATCGGGGCAATCACCCCCGATCATCCCCGACCTGATCCAGTCGACCATCGATTGCGTAAGATCGCCCCGATATGCACCACGTCCTTAGGACGTGGCCCAGACCGGGTCTGATCGGCAGTGATCTGGTCGGGTTGGATCTGATCAGATTGACTGTGATTGCTTGGATCGCGCCGCCCAATCAGAGCTGAAATTCCTCGAAGGTAACGCGTGGGTGCATGGCAAGCGTGACCACATTTCTTACCAACTTCGGGCCAACTTTGGCGACTGCGAAAGGCTAAAGCATTGATCCAGCGATAGTTGTGTCACCCTGTAATTTCGCGTCCAGAAAGTTTTTGCAGTCGTAGTTGTATGGACGAGGGCTACTCGAAACCCAGTCGAACCTTGCAACTTTTCGCTAGCGTCGCATTGTACCGCAACCCAACGCAATCAAGTGATCGTCAGTTATTGTGTTTGATTGTGTATGATTGGGGTGTTTGAGGCGGTTGATCGAGTTGGGGCGATCAGTTGATCGCGATCAACTGATTGCCCCTGATTGCCTGAAATTGGCCTAGAATCACGTTGACGAAATTTGCGAAATGTCGAGAATCACTTAAAAGCCCCATTCACAAGGCAACCTTGGGTTAGTCAAACGAGCATCGTGTGTAATCCATCTATGCGTGCCCGTATCGGTTGGGATGGGTACCCGATTAGGTTCATGGTCTCTCGCCACCGTTCGAGGGTTTCATCTGGCGTTTCATTCTAGTTTTGTCTTTTAGTTGTGTCAGGCTTGGGATGACCACCTCCTCCCGTTCCCGTTCCCGTTCCCGTTCCCGTTCCCGTTCCCGTTCCCGTTCCCGTTCCCGTTCCCGTTCCCGTTCCCGTTGGCTATCGAATAAGGCCCTAGAACCACTCAGGAGCGCTACCAAGCTCGGGAAAGTGGAATGTATACTGATGTTCTCGTTTATAGTCCGACGGAAAGACACGCCGCGCGCGGACTATGTGGCAAAACTTACAAAACACGGGCAAACTGAAACTTATAGTCCCAAATTCAGGAAAATTGCATGAGAAGCAGTTTTTCTTCGTTACTAGTTGTTTTTTCTTGTCATATACGTACATTCGGACTGCGCTTGCTTCAACTTCTCGTCGCACGGTTCTTCGCGTTGATCGATGTCGCATAAATTACGGGCAGAAAAATACAAAATCAATTATGTTTGAGGCCTGAATGAGAGGACATAATTTCTGTTTTATTTCAAAAGCGAGATTAATGAGATGTCATCGTCGAGCGCGCAGGGGACCGAGTGACAGGATTTTGAACAAACGCGGTCAAGAGAAACAAACAATAAAAACTGAGAATGTAAATATCAAATCAAAACTTCCTTCCCTATTATGTTCCGTGAATGCTGGGGCTGGTTCGATTTGGGTCCTCTGATTACACACGATGCCCGTTTGACTAACCCAAAGTTGCCTTGTGAAGGGGGCTTTTAAGTGGTTCTGGGCATTTCGCAAAATTCGTCAACGTCGCACCTAGCAAAAAAAGGGCTTATAAAATATTCGTAACTCCCCGTTGACAATTTGACTTCGGTCTCTTCTGTTTGACTTCGGTTTTTGTGGTTCTTATTGGTTCATAACCACTGCAACGTGCTCGAGGAGCTTGTAATGTGGGTGCAACGGGCTGGTAAAAAAAACACGGGTGCAGACTTTCCATCCGGGGCAGGGCAAATTCGCGCGCAGGGTTTGAGCATCAGAACTGATTCGTGCAATGATTCAGTCAAGCTGCAAAATTTCCCGCCAAAAATGGGACTGTAGAGGAGGGGCTACAACCAGCACTTTTCTGAAAAATCCTCTCGATGGGAAAAATGAACTATCTCAAGAAAGGACTCTAAGCCAGAACATCTGTATTTGTTTTACAACTCCAGCTGCAACACTCGCTCGCGCAAGCCACGGACTCAAGCCGCTGAGTCACGCGACACACGTCAGCCCTGGTTAGCCCACTAGGCAGCACGACTTTTCCCTGGTGTGCGTGTGCTTGCTTGCGCACTTCACCATGGCCTAACAGTTTTTGTTTTCCTGAAAATATCGATTCTATGAATGGTCAAACATGGATAGAGGTAGCAAAGGGAGGGGTCGTGGGATGCTGTTTTTAGTGCTAGTTATGGGTGAGAGGAGTCAGAGGTCCCAGTACGAACGATTTCCAAGTTCTCTTTAGTGATTCAGTGCTGTGGTCCTTTTTTAGACGAGCACATAAGAATCAATTACGGAGTGGGCAGCGCAATCAAGGGTGAATCAGTATTTGAGAAAGTGCATTGATATTTGTAGCCCTGGTTTCAAGTGTTGAGTTTGGGCCCAGCCCGGACGCACAAAATGTTTGGGGGCACCTCAGCCTTCCAGTTCTGTCCCCGGACTAATCGACAGGCCTCCCCTTGACACGTGTGAGCTGTGTTTGTTCTTTTTGTTCTACAAGCGGTTTTTAACCAGGATCTCATGGCATGCGATGAAAATTTTAAAAATCAGCCCTCGATGAAGGTGGTGGAAGGAGGGGCCCCTCCTTCCGAACTAGGGAGGGAGGCGCTGCTGGTGGGGCGGTGACGAGCCGAGGAGAAGTTTCCTGGGAAACTCTGCTGAACACTCGCCTAACCCTAGCCCTTGGAGGGCTATCGAAGGGTTAGGCAGCCTATCGAACAGGGTTAGGCTGTTCCATCCTGATGCCATCAATTTGGAAGGGTGCTAGAGTACACCAACACCGCCGTCAGGTGATTCGAGCGCGTGGGGAGTTTTCGCTCTGGGGGTCTCATGAGACTGATGCCGCTGCCTTGCTGATGCCCTGTGCCTGGAGAACAGGGCTATTGTTCTACTGGAAGGTGGCTGCCGAACTGGGCCCTGTTTTGCAGCCACCACAGTTCGTCAGGTTCGGACGGGCGGGGCCCTGGTCGAACTGGTCAGGTTCCAGGTGTTCCACGGCTACCATGTTCCCGATTTCTGATGGCCTGCAGAACAACACCATTGTTCTACTGAAAGGTGCCTGTCGAACTGGGCCTAGGTCTGTGGGTGGGTGTCCTAATGTGGCCTGTGCGGTCTGTGCGTCCTGCCGGCCTCCGCTCCTGCTGCTGTGCCTGGTCCCTGGTTGCCTTCCTCCCTCGTTGCCTCTGCCCTCTATCCTCTCCCCCACCCACCGGCCTCCTCCCCTCTCCTCCCCTCCCCTCTCCCAAACCACTTCGCCTTCTTCCCTCTACTGGCCTGCCCCTCCTGCCGTCCCCTGTGCCAGCCAGCCCCGTGCCCGGCCTGGTGGTGAGGGAACTTCAATGGAGTCCATACTTGAGAATGCGATCTCACATCCAAGGGCATAAATTAACTGACTTTGCCAGAGTCCAGCTGAGGTAATATATGACTCGTCCATTTCACTGATCCTTTTGACGACCTATTTATTGTAATCCTCCAGCAGCAATGAAGAAACTATTGAGCGTGCCACCGCTCTTAGCTGTCATTGCAGCACTAATCGCGGTGCGATGTGCGGCAGAGGATTTCGGCGTGGATTTTAATATCGAGCATTCCATATCACTCCATCGCGTGAGTCGCCCATCGCGTTGTCCGTGTCGCGTGTCGCCCGCGCATGTTCTCCCCATGTCCGTTATACCTACATTTGGTCGTTAGTGGAGTATATTCACTTCGGCGAACTTTCCAAGAAGCCTCCTCCATGCAAAAGGAGCTTCCATTCACATCCAAGGGCCCTCCTTGCCAGGCGGATGGCTCGTTTGTTCCTACACCCTCCGGATTCCACGCCGCGATTCCGCCGTCTGATCCTATGCCACACGATGCACTCCTCTAGCTCCTTATTCCAGCGCTCCCCCTCGTGCTGCCTTCTTCCCACCCTTCCCCTTTTCCCCCTCCATCCCCACTTTCGAACCTTCCGCCTTCCCCCCTCCATCTTCCGCCCGCGCATCCTCCGCGTATCTCTTCCATTCCCTCCCCCGCAGGCGTGGGAGCTCGCGTACGACCTGGCGGAGGGCACGCTCCGCCCGCCCGCGAAGATCTCTCTTCCGCCAAACGTCCCCCCTCCGCCGCACCTGGAGGACTGCGCGGCGCGCACTGCGTTCCGCGAGTCGACGGAGAAGCGCGCGGCGAACGGGGAGTCGCCCAAATGGTCCAACTCGTCCGAGGCGTGCGGATGGGTGCCCCAGCCGCCTTGGGTGGGTCACGCCTCGCCTCTTGCTTTTCGAGGCTCATAAAAAAAGTTGCGTCACCCGCCACAGGTGGCGGAGGGCTGTTGGTAGGCCGCAGTGACGCCTTCCACTCTCCCTTTTTCCGACTTCCCCCGATCCCCGCCCATTTTCGTCACTCCACACCACGCCCCCTCTTTCCCCCCACTTTTCCCTCCCCGCTCCTCCTACCGCAATCCCGCCCTCACCCCCCCTCCGCCTCCGCAACCCCCCACATCCCCCGTCTTCCGCAATCCCCCCGCCCCAGGTCCGGGGGCCCGACGCGGGCAACCTGGCAGGAACGCGGAAGGCGCAGCGCGACCTGTGGGAGCTGCAGTTCCCGGCATCATGCAAGGAGCGGAAGCTGCTGCTGGTGGAGTGGCCGCCGGTGCAGGGGTACGGGCTGGGGTCGCAGCTGCACATCATGACGGCGCTCTTCAGCTTCGCTGTCAACTCCAACCGCACCTTCGTCATCAAGCCCGACACCTACGTGCGCGCCAACCACTCCGAGTGCCAAGGTGGGTGGGTGGGCGGGTGGGCGGCTAAGGGGGTGAGCGGGTGGGTGGGTGAGTGGGCGGGCTTTGGATGGGGTTGCAAGGCACCAGCATACGGGGGAGGTACACGTGAGGGGCAGCATGAGTGGTAACCATTACCACAACGAGATGCTGATTCCCCGCCTTCGTACCTCCATCCGTGCCCTCATTGCTCCCCTATCCCATCCCATCCCATCCCATCCCACCCGTGGTCAAGCCGGCCACGTGTGAGCGCGTCAGCTTGTTTTCGTGGCAAGGCACGCCAGCACATGCAATACTCCTACTTTCTCTTCCCCATGGGATGCTCTCCCTTCCTCCTTCCCCCTCCCCCCTCCTCCCTTCCCGCTTCCCCCTTCCCCTTTCTCCCTTCCCCACTCCCCCTTCCCCATTCTCCTCCCCCTCTCTCCCTTCCCCGTCCCCCTTCCCCCTCCCGCCTCCCCCCTTCCCCAGCGCTAGGCAAGGCAGGGACGTTCGAGTGCTACTTCTTCCCCATGGTGTCCAAGGAGTGCGAGGACATAGCCATGGCGGAGCACAACGCAGGCCGCATCCCGGCGTGCTCTGGCATAGGAGGCCTGGAGCACGTGGTGAGGTCTCAAGACCTCGTGCTGTGCGCCACAGGCTACGAGATCCTTAAACACCGCTCTGCTGCCAGGTGCGTGCGGGTGCTGGGTGCTTGTCGCTAGAGCACCGCAAGCGTCAAGCGGTGCAGCAGGGAGGAAGAAGGGCGTGCTCAGGTCCGAAGACCTCGTGATGCGATTTGATTCTGCCCGGTGCTCAAGGGTGGTGGTTGGGTGGGCGTGTGGGTGGGTGGGTGTGTTGGGAGGGCTCGACGGGCTGTTGCAGGAAGGGAATGCCCGCTCATGTCAGGTAGAACCGCCTTGTGGTGCGCGGTAAGTCTTTGGAAACCAATTGGTAGAACCGCGTGTGCGCTAAGGGTGCAGGCAAGGCGTATGGTATGGATCATTGGTTTTCTGGGACGTTTGAGTCTCCTTGTGAGAAGCCAACACAGCTAGTCCAAGCAATCCAGCCTTTCCCCGTACTATACTTTCTCCTCCACCCACCCCGTGACCGTGAAATGCTCTCCTCTCCCCATCCCCTTCCATTTCCTGCTACCCCTCCCTCTCCCTCGTTCCTCTCCCCCTCCTTCCGCTCCTCCCCCCACCTCTTCCTCTCCCGCCCGTACCCCTGTTTCCCTCCTCCCACGGACTGGGACCATACAAACCAAAGCAACCCAACGTAGTGAAGCTGACAGGCTCGTTTTGATTCCACTCAAAACGCTCTCCCTCCCCCTGCCTCTCCCCTTCCCCTATCCATGCCCCCCTCGTCGCCCCTGTCCCTGCCCCCACCTCCTTCTTCTCGCTGCCCTCCCGCCTCGCCCTTACACCTGTCCTGTCCCCTCCTCCCAGGGAGTGGGGCGATGCGTACCTGCAGCGGCCCAACGTGGTGGAGCTCACGGGCGCCATGCAGCCGATCACCCCCGATCAGCAACAGGTGCCCATGCACGTGCTTCAACACACATATGCGTGGGGGAGAGGCTTATTATATTTCTGGGCTTGAGTCTGATCTGATCTGTGTTTACCGTGAACACGCCATGGAGTCCGTTAACCCCGTGCAGTGGCACGTGGGTTTTGTAACGCGTCTAACTGCAGGTGAATGTGGTGGAGCTCACAGGCTCATGCAGCATGTTGTCCCTGTCTATGGCTTTCTGCATTGGCGTTCTGGGTCACTTTTGATTCGACCCTGCACCGCTCTTGCACACCTTCATGTGTTCCAGGCTTCACCCACCCAGTTCAGTCAAGTCCAATCCACTCAATCGCTCCATTCCTCTCCACTACACTCCCCGTGTCTCCCCCTGCCCCCTTACTCCCACCATCGTTGTCATCGTCTCCCCCCACCACGCCTCACACCGGGTGCACTGGTGGCGAGCCCAGGCCTTCCACTGTGACCTTTGAGTCATCTCAAACTCCTTTCACCCCCCACCCCCTCCCCTCCGCTCTCACCTGCTCTGCAACCCCTTCAGCCTTCCAGTTGCACTGGTGGTGGTGTCGAGCCTAGGGCGGGAAGCTTCATGTTCCTCCTTCCTCTATCACCCTCTCTGCATCCCTGCCTCACCTCACCAGGTGCACTGGTGGCGAGCCCAGGTGATCCGCTTCATGCTGCGCTGGCCCTCGGCATACATGTGCCACATCACCAACCGCGTGCGCCACAACGCGTACGGGCAACAGATAGCCATCCACATGGTCAGCACCGCGGCCGAGCAGGAAGCCATCATTAAAGCCATCAAGCCCGACGACTCTCGCAAGGGCCTCTCGATCAACTACGAGCAGGAGATCAACACGCTCTCACACATGAATTTCTCGGCGCCGAACCTCGAGAATGAGGTCTGGCCGGGCCTGGACTATGCTGGGTGTTCGCTCGACAACCACACGGATCCTGAGGCGCCAAAGCATGCAGCTGATTCGGTGTATGAGGGAGTGGGCGGGGAGCCGTGTATCCCGCGGCCGATTGTGAGCATGCACGTGCGGCAAGGGGACAAGAGGCACGAGATGCAACTGATCTCGTTCCCCTCGTTCGTGTTCATGGCCAATAGGCTCAGACGGAGGATACCACACCTCAAATACGTGTGGCTCAGCACTGAAATGCAGGTGAGTAAGGGGTTAGGGGCTCGATCCTGATCGAACAGACTTTGTCATCAGGGATTCGTCACCATCCGCCCCCTACTCCACTTGTTCACTCAACATTCACCTTATTTCATTCTTTGACTCCCTCCTACCTCCTCCCTCCTAAATTTCTCCCTCTCAGAGCGTGGTAGACCAGGCGGGGAATTACAACGACTGGACCTTCTTCTACTCCGCAAACCTCCGACAGACCGGTGCAATCTCCATGCTTCAATATGAGGAGACTGCGGGGGTAGCAAAGCTTGCAGGGATCAGCTTCGCCAACCTGGTCATTGCATCACAGGCGGATTTCTTTGTGGGGGCGCTAGGGTCCAACTGGAACCGGCTGATTAATGAGCTCAAGGCCACCAATGGGAGGGTGTATGCGGGTTATGTGTCGGTGAATTTCGATGAGTGGTAGTGAGAATGCAGTTTGTTTTTTAAGTTGTTTTGTACTATGTGGTAGTTGGTGTATGATTTTTTTGGGACTCCATTATTCAAATGATTCTGATATCTAGAAGCTCCCTCATTTTCTTTGTATGTATAGTGATACTATAGGTTATAACGAAGCTGCTTCCAAGTACCCGACACAGCAGAAATGGTAACACCTAGGGGCGACGTACGGTTCATACACTAAGGACGCGTGTCCTTGAGCGCAGATTGTAAAGTTCAGGTTTTATTTATCGAGGTTAAAGCCGCGGTGCAGATATCCGGGCTCCAGTTCAAACTATTATAGTTTGAAAGCCGCGTAACCCAGTATACACAGGAAAGCGAGCAGGGAGAGGTTTCTGCCAGCGGGGGAAGGGCGTGCGGAAAAGTCCTTCGCAGTATGGATGGATAAATAAACCAAAATAAACCTTGTAAGTGAAATATGTATTTTGCAAAGTTTTTATGAAACACAAGGTTTATCGTTTTGCAATGTGGAGGTGTTATTGGCAGAACAATCAGCGAAAGGGAGTATGATGTGGTCCCATTTCCCGTTTCGTGTGTGTTCCCCCCTTCCCTTCCCCCCACCCCTTCCCCCCCACTTTTCCTTTCGAGGTTCGCGACATTCGCCTTGGATGTTTTCATCGCAACACAACTTACACACTCGCTAGCCAATTGACTACCAGTACGGAACAAGACAAAACCCGGCTTGTCACTGTTCCTAAGATAGTTGCACCGCGGCTTTAACAAATGAGCACTGGTCGACCTATAGTCGACTATCTGAACTTCCGATGGTCGAATCGCGTGTTCAAAAAAACGTCAAGCACATCGCAGATAGGGCAGGGCCCGAGTCGCACACAAAAATCGTAGGTTACCCTGTTTGAGCGGCGCGTCTCTCGGCTTTCATGTGGCGGTTAGTGACGCCTTGAATTTGACGACGGGTTTGGTAGTACGCACGATGAGGTTTCCCAGTTTCGCTAATTTCGTAGCTTCATCCAACGTGTGCAGAAGTGCACACGTTTGGAAAAACGTGCTCGCGAACATCCAATTGCGAGCTCGAGCTCTGTTCAGTATGATTGTTCCTTGATGTAGCGTCACATTGACGAACCTCGCAACTTTATATTAACAAGATTCGCAAAATTGATTACCAGTAAAAGCTCGACCGGTTTTTCGAACTCTGACCGGCTAGGACACGCGCCCTAATCGTGATTCCTGCACACACTCGCAGATCTCCGTCATCCAACCAACCACCCTCACAGTTCTACGTCACCTCCATCACCACCTCCACTCCAATATCTCATCCACCTCTGCTCTTCTGCACCTACCACTCATCACACAACCCATCACTACTGTCTACCTTGGCTTTACCAAATGCTCCAAAATCTTCGATTTTCAGGCTGTGGGTAGCCTCGTCGTTGATAATTATTTGCTTATCTATATACGGTAGGTGGCCTTTCCCATCGACAAGCCACTGAAAGATTGTACTACTGCCAGCAGCAATGAAGAAACGATCGAGCGTGCCACCGCTGCTAGCTGTCATTGCAGCACTAATCGCGGTGCGATGTGCGGCGGAAGTCCCTCCAGCTGCCGTAATTTTCGGCATGGAGTCGAATCTCGAGCATTCCATGTCTCTCTATCGTGTGAGTCGCGCGTCGCGTCGTCTTTCTCGCGTGTCGCACACGCATATTCTCCCCATGTAGGTCATACCTACATTCGGTCGTTGGTGGAGTATATTCACTTCAACGAACTTTCAAGGAAGCCTCTTCATGCACAAGTAGCTTCTTATTCACATCAAGGGTCCTCCTTGCCTGGCGGATATCAATTTTCGCGGCTCGTTTGTTCCTTGATCCTCCACATTTTACGCCTTGCGTTTCCGGAATTCCATGCCACACAATCCACTCCTCTAGCTCCTTATTCCAGCGCTCCCCCTCGTGCTGCCTACTTCCCACCTTCCCCCTTCCCCCCTCCATCCCCACTTTCGAACCTTCCGCCTTGCCCCCTCCATCTTCCGCCCGCGCACCTTGCGCGTATGTCTTTTCGTCCCTCCCCCGCAGGCGTGGGAGCTCGCGTACGACCTGGCGGAGGGCACGCTCCGCCCGCCCGCGAAGATCTCTCTTCCGCCAAACGTCCCCCCTCCGCCGCACCTGGAGGACTGCGCGGCGCGCACTGCGTTCCGCGAGTCGACGGAGAAGCGCGCGGCGAACGGGGAGTCGCCCAAATGGTCCAACTCGTCCGAGGCGTGCGGATGGGTGCCCCAGCCGCCTTGGGTGGGTCACGCCTTGCTTTTCGAGGCGCTGAAAAAAAAACAAAACAAAAAAGGTTGCGTCACCCGCCATAGGTGACGGAGGGCTGCTGATATGCCGCAGGGACGCCTCCCACTCTCCCCTTTTCCGACTTCCCCCTTTCCCCCCGCATTCTCTTCGCTCCACACCCCCTCCCCCTCTTCCCCGCCACTTTCCCCTTCCCGCTCCTCCCACCGCAATCTCCTCCCTCACCTCCCCCGCCTCCGCAACCCCCCTAATCCCCCTGCCCCGAATCCCCCCGCCCCAGGTCCGCGGCCCCGACGCGGGGAACCTGGCAGCGACGCGGCGGGCGCAGCGCGACCTGTGGGAGCGGCAGTTCCCGGCGTCATGCAAGGAGCGGAAGCTGCTGCTGATAGAGTGGTCGCCCCTGGAGCGGCACGGGCTGGGGTCGCAGCTGCACATCATGACGGCGCTCTTCAGCCTTGCCGTCAGCTACAACCGCACGTTTGTGCCGATGCCGGGGACGTACATGCGCGCCAACCACTCCGAGTGCCAAGGTGGGCTGGAATCACTCACTCTCAGTGGGTGGGTGGGACCGTGGGAGGGGAAGTGGGTGGGTGGGGGTAAGTGGGCGGGCGGGTTGGCAGGGGCAGGGCAGCAACCCACCCAGATGCTCCCTTTCTCTCCATCTTACCTCCATCCATGCCCTTTTTGCTCCCCGGACCCCTATTCCGCCTGTGGTCATGGCGGCCACGTGTGAGTGCTGCATCTTTTCCATGGTGGGGCAATGATCACGTTGCGACGACATGCAAGGCAACTCACCCCTTCTCTCCTTTCCCTTCCCCATTGCTTGCTCCCATTCCCCGTTCCTCCTCCCCCGTTCCCTCTGTCCCTCCCCCCTCCTCCATCCCTCCTCCCCCGCTCCCCCAGCCATGGGCAAGGCGTCAACCTTCGAGTGCTACTTCTTCCCTATGGTGTCCAAGGAGTGCGAGGACATGGCCATGGCGGAGCACAAGGCGGGGCGCATCCCGCCGTGCCCGGACTTCCGCAGCCTGGAGGGCGCGCTCAAGTCCGACAGCCCTGTGGTGTGCGCCACCGACGAGGACTACAACCGCCTGCGCTTGCGCGGGGATGCTGCCAGGTGCGTTAGAACCTGTTGGGGAGGGTGGTTGCTGTTAGAAAGAACACCACCAAGGATTGCTACAGGGGAGAAGGGTGCGGTTAAGACTGACAGCCTTGCGGTGTGGGCTAAGGAAGCGGATTACAACTTTCTTGGTTGTCATGGGGAGCTGGTGGAAGGAACGACGGTTAGTTGCTCCAAGTTGCAAGGAGCTCAGCTTCTCAGGCGCCTCAGAAGTTTCGCCAGTCAGACAGCCTCGTGTCGTGTGTGTGGTACGGACGAGGGCTAGGCCTATGGGTCGTTGCGGGGACGTTTGTGTGGACTAAAGAGACACCTTGTGTAAAGGCAGCACTGACATCGCAATCCAGCCTTTCTTCTTACTTTCCCGTTTCGTTCCCCCACTCCTTGACCGGGTTATGCTCTCCTCTCCCCCTCTTTTCCCCCCTCCTTTTCCCCCTCCTTTTCCCCATCCTTTTCCCCCTCCTTTTCCCCCTCCTTTCCCCCTCCTTCCTTTCCCCCTCCTTTCCCCCTCCCTCTCCCCCTCCTTTCCCTCATCCCTCTCCCCACCCTTTCCCCCCTCCCTTTCCCCCTCCCTTCCCTCTTCCCCTCCCTTCCCCCTACCCTTTCCCTCTCCGTTCCCCCCTCCCTTCCTCCTCCCTTCCCCCCTCCCTTTCCCCTTCCCCTTCCCCCTCCCCCAGCCCCGCCTCTGCCCCTGCCCCCCCCCCGTCCTAGGGAGTGGAGTGGGCCACACGTACCACAGCTTCAACACGGTGAAGCAGCTTCTTTTGTATTCCACTCAGAATAACCCCACTCTCTTCGCCCACTTTTGAGTCGGCTAAACACACTTCCCGGGCCCCTGCCCCTGTCCGCCCCCTTGCCTTCCCTGCCCCCTGTGCGTACTCCTGTCCCTCCCCTCCAGGGAGTGGGGCCACTTGTACCTCCAGCGGCCCAACGTGGGGGGATCGTCACAGAATCGTTAAATTCAACCAGTAACACTCCTTCTCCCCCTGCCCTGCCTCCCCGCCTTCCCCCCCTCTTCCCCTTCCTCTCTGCCTCGTCCCATCGCCCCCCTACTCGCTGCCCCCTCCCCAGGGAGTGGGGCGATGCGTACCTGCAGCGGCCCGACGTGGTGGAGCTCACAGGGTCGTTTGGTTCAACTCGAAACACTCCTTTCCCCCTTGCGCCCCCACTCGCCCATGGCCCCTTCCCTCCCCCTTCTTTACTCGCTGCTCTCCCCCACAGGGAGTGGGGTGACGCGTACCTGCAGCGGCCCAGTGTGGTGGAGCTCACAGGCTCCATGCAGCCCGTCAACCCCGGGCAGCGCCAGGTGCGTTTCCTCCTGATGGCTCAACTCAACACACAGGAGCGTGGGAGAGAGAGGCTTGGTATGGTGTGAGCTTGAGCCTGTGAGCTTGAGTCAGGACACACCTGTGAGTTGACTCAAAGCGCGACATGCAGCCTGCTACCGCTGTGCAGCGACAGGTGGGGGCACAGAGGAGAGGCGCAGGGGGGAATTGTGCGAGGAAGGGTGAGGGAAGGTGGGGAAGAATCTTGGTATGTTCTGAGTTAAAACACGCTCCTGTGTTAGAACACACTATTGAGGCGATTCAGTGCACCCCGTGCAGCTTCTTAATCCCGTGCATTCACAGGTGGGGACACATTGAGGAGGAAATACCATGAGAGAGCGTGTGAGTTTGAGGCTTGGTGTCCAAGCTATGGCTTCTGCATTGGGTTCTTGGCTGCTTTCTTCTCCCCATGGCTCTTGCTCACTTTCATGGATTCTAATGATCACTCACTCGGTCCAGTTCACTTCATTCCCCTGGTTTCCCGTCCAGGGCTCTCGAAATCAGGCTAAATTTCCTGTATGTCAGGTACATTCTGTAAAACTTGTCGTTACAATGCTGATTCTGAGGCAGTTGGTCTAGAAATCATCCGGATGATTGCCGGATGATTGGGCCGAGCACTCGGAGACTTCAGTATTGTCATGGAAATTATTTTGAAATGGAAACTAATTTGAAAACTATGCTGAATTGTTAACTCAGTGCAAGTTGTCGTGTGGGATACCGAATGCAAGATGCCATCCCACTGTTGTGTAAGTTTTAGGTTTGTTAGCCCTTGCCTATCCGGCATGCACATTTAGGTTTTAGGTTTGTTAGCCCTTGCCCTGCTTTCGTCATCACCACCCCGTCCTCACCACATACACACACGGTGTGGAGCCCAGGCCATCATCTTTTTGGCCCCCCCCTCGTCCTCTGACCTACTCTGCATCCCCCCTCCTCCCCCCACCCACACCAGGTGCACTGGTGGCGAGCCCAGGCGATCCGCTTCATGCTGCGCTGGCCCACGGCGTACATGTGCCACATCACCAACCGCGTGCGCCACAACGCGTATGGCCAACAGATAGCCATCCACATGGTCAAGGCGGCAGCGGAGCAAGAAGCCATCATTAAAGCCCTCAGGCCAGATGACGCCCACAAGGGCCTCGCGATCAACTACGGGCAGGAGATCAACACGCTCTCACACATGAATTTCTCCGCACCGAACCTCGAGAATGAGGTCTGGCCGGGCCTGGAGTACGCGGGGTGCTCCCTCGACAACCATACGGATCCCCAAGCGCCGAAGCACGCAGCTGATTCACTGTATGAGGGGGTGGGCGGGGAGCCGTATATCCCGCGGCCGATAGTGAGCATGCACGTGCGGCAAGGGGACAAGGCGGGCGAGATGCGGCTCATCTCGTTCCCCTCGTTCATGTTCATGGCCAACAGGCTCAGGCGGAGGATACCGCACCTCAAATACGTCTGGCTCTCCACTGAGATGCAGGTAAGCCAGGGGCACGTGCACGATGGAACTGAACTTCTCTTTTCAGGGGTGTTTCGCTATCCGTCTGGTCGTCGTTGGCCTCTTTCTCAGTCTGCTTTCTCTGTTGTCATCCTCTCCCCCGGTGTCAATTTATCTCATTCCTCCGCTCCATGTCCCCCGTCCATTTCATGCCATTCCTCCTCTACATTACTCCCATCCCCCACTTCTCGTCCTCCCTCCGTCGCTCCAGAGTGGTGGAACAGTCACAGCAGTGCAGGACTGTGCCTCCCTCTATTTGAACTGTTCGAAGAATCATCTCATCTCATTCTTCAACTCCCCTCTCCCCGGTACTTCCCCCCACCCCTCTCCTCCCTCACCTCCTTCCTCCATTCCGCCCCCCAGAGTGTGGTGGACCAGTCACAGCAGTACAAGGACTGGGCGTTCCTCTACTCCACAAACCCCCGCCAGAACGGCACAACCTCCATCTTTGAGTACGAGCAGACCGCAGGGGTAGCCAAGCTGGCAGGGATCAGCCTGGCCAACCTGCTCATCTCATCGCAGGCGGATTTCTTTGTGGGGGCGCTGGGATCTAACTGGAACCGGCTGATCAATGAGCTCAAGGCCACCAGTGGGAGGGTGTATGCCGGCTATGCGTCGGTGAATTTCGACGAGTGGTAGTGGGAATGCTGTTGGTTCTGTAGTGTACTGTGTTTGTTGAAGTACTGGTATTTCGACTACCACACTGGTGATAATATGGTAATTCTGACAATAATTGTACGACCTGGAGCCTTATAACGAGGATAACACTGCTAAAATCTAACAGCAAAGTTGAACCGCTAGGGTTATATGTCAAGAGGGGTTACATTATTACAATAGAGTTTATTATTGGTGGAAACTAGGGTGTCCTCTAACCCTCTCTCCCTGCCTCCCAATAGTACTCCTCTCATCACTCCTACCCAACATTTCATGCCATAGCTGCTACATTACTACCCCATCACTCCCACCCATCACTTCATGCCGCTGATACCAGTACTCCCGCCCATTATTATGCGCTCTACAGCAGCAATCTCGTCTTCAAAGCACCCACCCCTCTGCTCCTCCACCTCCTCATCTATCCTCACAGCCATCTTAGGTGCCACCTCCCCCAAAAACGCCTTCCTGAGTGCCGTGAGCTCAGATACCACCTGGATCATGTCAGGACGAGACACGGTCGGCATGGCCGTGCAGCGCAGCGCCAGTTGTGCCATCTGCAGAATCAAATCTGTGGGAGCGGCCAATCGGGGGTCCTTGAGCTGGTCTGCTTTGCCTGCTTTTATTAGGTCCTCCGCCTGATAAGCACAGGGAAAGCGGATGGTGCGGGGAATGGATGTGATACGAACGGCTCGGCACGAGGAAAGGCGGCAAGGAGGCATGGGTGAGTGAAGGTAAACGGACAAGTCATTGCATTGCCTGCTGGGATGGGGGCTTCTCGACTCCAGGCCAAGGAGAAGCACGTAGGCAGGATGTATGGCATGGCTTGGCATGATATTGCATGACATGCAGTGGCATGCATGGCTTGGCTGATACGGTTTGACATAGCATGACAACTCATGCCATGCCTAAAAGCAACCATTTCCGGACGCTCAGCTGGCTGTCGTTTCCCTCTGAGGTAATATGGCATGGCTTGGCATGGCACAGGAATACTTACCCAATCAAAATGTTGCCCTCTGGGATGATATGGATGTCATGGCATGGCATGCATGACAGAGCATGGCAGGGCTTACCCATCTGTGAAAGTTCAGCTGGGAGTCATTGCTGTCTGAGAAAACATGATATGGTATGGCTTGGCATGGCATCTTATGATATGGCTTGGCATGGCATCTTATGATGTGGCTTGGCATGGCATCGTATGATATGGCTTGGCATGGCATCGTATGATATGGCTTGGCATGGCATCTTTTGATATGGCTTGGCATGGCATCGTATGATATGGCTTGGCATGGCACCTTTTGATATGGCTTGGCATGGCATCGTATGATATGGCTTGGCATGGCATCGTATGATATGGATTGGCATGGCATGGCAAGGCGTACCCATTTGCGAATGTTGAGCTGGGAGTCAGTGCCGTCTGAGATGACTGCTTGGCGTGCTGACAGCACCATCAGCATCACCACGCCAAAGCTGAAGGGTCGGAGGAAGGGTGGATGGTTGGGATGGATGGGTGGATGGGTGGATGGGTGAATGGGGAAATGAATGAGTGGGTGGATTCCGGGCGTGCTGACAGCACCATCAGCATCACCACGCCAAAGCTGAGGGGTTTCGGAGCAGGGATGACCTTGAGTGCACAATGGGAGTGGTTACGGACAACAGCGCGTGGCGGTTTCGGTATGGTTACGGACAGTACATGGCGAACTGGTGCACTTTTGACAATTCTCATAAGTGACTTAGATATAATCGGGAAAGCACGAAGGAGGCTATTTGATGTGCGTGTGTGCAAGCCATTGCCTGATTGCACCACCCTGTATTGCTCCATACCGCACTGCACCTCTCTGCATGCTCGACACTGCGCTGCACCGCTCTTTATTGCACACCATAATGCTCGATATTGCATTGCACCTCTCTGCACCGCACTGTACCTGTACACATCGGCCAAGGGAGTGGCCTTGCTGGACTTGAAGTAAGTGGGGTCCACATAGCCTGGTGTGCCCATCACTCTGGTGGCACACACAGTGGTGCCCTCTCCCTCCCTCAGCAGCCCAAAGTCAGCAATCTTGGCCTGGTGGGAGGGGTGTCATAGTGAGGCACTCTTAGCCTGGTGGGTCGAGCACGATGAGTGGGGTGTGGTGATGAGACAAGGGCGAGCTCAGGTGGTGAGTTCGTATCAATTAGGCTCAAATCGCTCTGGTGGCGGCCACAGTGCTGCCCTCGCCCTAACTCAACAGCCCAAAGCCAGCAATCTTGGCCTGGCGGATAGAGCACAGATGCAATATCACCTACACTTGTCAAATAGGTTGCCACGGAAGGAAGGGCTGACGTGGAAAAAGGGGCAGAGCAGTGCTTATAATGACGGAAAATGGACAGAGAGCGGTGCTTATAACAAAGAACGAATGAACCAGAGACAGAGAGACAGGAGCAGACCTCGAACTTGTCATCTAGCAGTATGTTGGCGGGCTTGATATCCCGGTGCACGATGCCAAAGCTGTGCAGATACTCTATCCCATGGGCCGCGCCTATGAGCACCGACAGGCGCTGCGCTATCGGCAGCGGCTGTGCCGCCCCCTCCCCCACCCAGTGCTCGAGGTCCCCATGGGCCATGAACTCGTACACCACTATCTGCTCCATGCTCATGTCCCCCCTGCCCTGTGCCGCTGGGTTCATGTCCACGCAGTAGCCCAGTAGGCGCACCAGGTTGGGGTGGTGCTTCGTTGCCATGGCTGCCACCTGGAGGAGGGAAAGGGGGTGGGTGATATGATGAGAGGCGGCGGCACCCCCTTTCCTGTGAGGCATGAGCTCGTACACCACTATCTGCTCCATGCTCAGGTTGCCCCTGCCACCTGGGTTCAGGTCCTCGTGATAGCCCAGTAGATGGACCAGGTTGGGATGGTGCTTTGTTGCTATGGCTGCTGTTTGGAGGAGGGAGGGAGGATGGGAAGGGGGACTTGTGCGTGTGGGGAAAGAGTGTGGGGGACGTGAGTGATTCGAAAAGAAAGGTAACAATAGTGTTGGCACATGGACGCCCCTTGGATGCCCCTGGACGCCCCACGAACCCCAGCATACCTCTCTGTGAAAGTCCTTGGTGATAAATCGGCCTCGCTTCACCGCCTATGCCACACTGGGATCGTACGGACACACACCCCGGTACACGTCGCCAAAGCCCCCGCTGCCGATGCGGTTGCTCTCCGCCCAGTTGTTGGTGGCGTGCGCCATGTCCGCATAGGAGAACTTCTGACACACTTGAGGCGCGTAGTCTACGCCCTTCGCGTCCTGCTGCTGCTGGTGCGCCCCCCCTGGAGCTTGCCTGAAGGATCCACCTGAAATGGAAGGGAAAAAGGGCGGACGAGTGGAGAGGGGCAGATGAGAAGGAGGAGCAGTCAGGGTGGTGCCGAATGGGGGAAACCACGCTGCCAATGTTGCTGCTGCCCCACTGAAGCTTGCCTGAATGATCCACCTGGAATGGAATTGATTAGGGGCAGAATAGGGAGGAAAGTGTGGGAGGTAAGGACGGGGGAAGGATTGGGAGGAGGAGAAGGGAAGGAGGAGTAGGCGCTCTCAATGGGATGAATCGGGCCTTTGCTTCCCATGTACATGGGGTAAATCACCCACACACACCTCGTGTAAATAAGGTGAATAGCCCACTTATTTCTCTTGTACAAAGGGTAAATTACCCACTTACTTCCCATGTACATGGGGTGAATCATTCTTCCAGAGCTGAAACTCCCTGCTCCTGCTGCCCCATATGCTCCTCCTACTCCTCCGCCTCCTCCCACTCCTGCTGCATAACCCAGGTTACCACTTCCCATGTAACCACTTCCCGCACCCCCACTCCCCACACTCCCGCTCCCCACACTCCCACCGCCCACACTCCCACTCCCATACACGCCATAAGTCCCCGCGTACCCCTGCGCATACCCTCCCTGTCCTGACGCAAAACTACCAGCACCGGCCGAGTTCCCTTCTCCTGCCGCATAAGCATTCGATTGAGCCGCCTTGCCGGATTCCCATGCTGGCAACCCTTCCTGGCGCCTCTGCCTGCGCCAAGGAAGAGAAACAAGACCAGCCCTGCAGCTGCTAGCAGCAGCAGCACGACACCAGCCACGATGCCAATTATCAGCCCTACAGATGCACTCGAGGAGGAGGAGGGGGAGGAGGGAGAGGAGGTGTTGGTGGGAGGCTGGGATTGGGTGGTGGTAGGAGAGGAGGACATGGGGGGTGAGGGGGATGGTGAGCCTCCTCCCGAACCTCCGACATAGGAAGGGGATCCTGCCAGTCACGGTGGGATTGGGAGGAGCATGAGATTTTTTTGTGTGCGCTTTTGATTGCTTCCTGTGCCACGGCTGTAGCAAGAAGTGGGTGAATGTAGTGCGGTTGTAGCATGGTTGTAGCACGGCTGTGGCACGGATCTGGCATGGCTGCGAAACGGTAGCACGTATGCAGCACGGGTGTAGCATGTAGCAGTAGCACGGATGTAGCACGTACCAGTGGGCAAGAGACAAGGAGACTGGCCGTTGACCATGTAATAACCAGGATTGCACGTGCACACATAGCCGTAATATCCCAACGAACAGGTTCCATGGCTGCACATGAGAATGCAATCGACTGGCGGAGACAGGAGAGGGGAAGTGAGGGATAAAGAGAGGAAAATAGCCAGACTCGCATTCGCTGGGCGAGTACCGTAGCGCGCGCAGTCGAGAGTGCAATTAGCTGGCAGAGACGGGAGAGGGTTGAATGCAGGAGACGGGTGAAGGGGTGAGAGCAGGGGTAAGGAGAGGGATGAGAGGAAGGAGAGGGGTGAAAGCAGGAGGAGGGTGAATAAGAGAGAACGGCAGGAGGGAGATCGAGGGACAAGCAGAAGGATGTTCTCGTGGTAACCGCACAGGTCAACACGCAGGTGACATGGCGTGCATCGGATGGCCGTGCGTGGGATGGGCGTGCATGGGATGGCCGTGCACGGGTAACCGCGCATGGGTGCAGGGGTCACAGAGGAGAATGGCATCGCGTGTTCAGAAGAATCTTACTTGGAGGAGGGGAGGAACGGCAGGTGGATGGATGGAGGAAGCAAGGGACAACTAGAGTTTCAGGTTGGACATAAAAAGGGAGACGAGAGATAACGAAGGTGGGACATGAATTCAGAGCATGTATTGGTCTCGAGGTAGCGACGCACGCACAGTGTACTCATCCCAAAATTCATCCCGCAACATTTACTTTGAAATCGCGGGAGACCCCAAGGTCACCATCGCGGGGTTACCCACAACTTCCCAGCAAGTGCCCCCGAGGTTACCTTTGAGCACAAACCACGTCATCTACTCTCGAATAGCATTTCGCGCTCCAATCAGAAGCCAGCTGAGTTCGATTTGATACCCCGAGGTTACCCCCAGCTTCTCAGGGAGGCTCGGCACCAATCAAAACATTGCTTCACTTTGACTGCCGAGACAGCCACGTACGAAATTGCACATGGCAAGGTAGAGGATCGCTCTCAGCATGTTGGAATTACATTTATTTGTTTTCTATCTGATTATGTTCTGTTATCGCATCGCTCAATATGTCGCATACAGTGATGGGTTGGGTTACGTGGCACTTTCTAGTTTACTAAGCAATCGGAGCTGTCCGATTGCAACTTCTACTCCCTCTCCTCTCCGAGCACCTTCACAGTACTTATCCACCATTGTACTTACGTAATCCGTCATTTCTGGTTTAGTTTTCAACTCATGATACACACTTAGAACAGCTACTACGAGAGCTTCTTGCAGTACTGGAACGACGTGCTGCTTCTCACGATTAGCGCTGGTGAGACATTAACGGTGATAAGGTTCACCGCAGAACGACAAGCTGTCCACAATCGTACCTGTAATTTGCTGTTTTTTTTTTTTCTGGTTCTTTCCCGTTGTAGCGCTCGTACCCTAATGATGTTCATTTTGACGCGGTAACTGCAGTGCGACGTCATGATCAATTCGGTGAGCTTCTCAAGTCGTGCGCCGGGAGTTAAGGCGAGGTAAGATAGTCGTGCGCGCTTTATTTCTAACCATGAAATGCGCGCTCAAGAGTATTCTGCGCTCTCATGAACTGCACTTGTTTAGTGACTTTGTCTGAATGTCGCCATCGTTTGCAGACTACGATGGCGACCCTTTTTCAAACGGTTGCGATTTTTTGTTGTATTGGTTTCGAACCCCGTTATCTCTCTTTAAGCATTTCCGTGGAAGCTGCATTCGTCGTGAGGTGAGAATCCTGCTTGACGCCATTTTGATTTGACGTGGCGTGTGTTGCTGCTGTTTCGTTTGTTCCTGTTTTCGTCCTCTGGTGTGTTGCAGGAGCACAGCAAAATAGAGGGGCTATTGAGCTTTGCCCCCAGCTCCCCACCAGGAGGACGTTATGTGCACGTTAGGAAGTGTTTATTTATTGAAATTGTTTCCTAGCAATGCTTCCCAGTATTGCCATCGTGTATAGGATTGAATGATGGAAGTGCATGTACCGTATTTGCAATTTGCTCAAAGAACATGTATAAAGTTAGTTGAATCGTAATCAAATGATTATGCAACACTGAAATATATGCTTCGTACAATACATATATGGTTATCTCGAAATGCCAATTTAGGGTACAAAAATAATTTGCGTGAAATTATCAAAATTAGTGCGTATGCATTTTTTGTTTCGTATCAAACGTTGGCCAAACAACTGTAGTGTCGGCTAGTGTACTCTAGGCAATTATCGAAGGTGTTAGGGAGCATTTCACAGCGAGGACGCGGCTCGCGTGTGGCTCGCGTGTGGCTCGCGTGTGATTCGTTCCGAAATGCTGGGAGTGGTCCCCCGAAGGGTTCCCGTGGGTCACCACCTGTGGGTGACCTCGTGGTCACCTCGCCAGGTGAATGTTGCAGAGGTCACCCGCGGGTTACCTAGACAAGGACCCCGGGGTCTCCCGCCACGGGGTAAGCTGTGGGTAACCTGGGGGGAGGTTTTTGGGCGAAACTTTTTTGGGATGCTCAGCTTACGTACGCGTTATCAAATGTATGTACTACGCAGCATCAAAGCATCGTCAACCGGGTTGGGTTTTGTAAAATTCTCGACCCAACTGAATACGCCTTACAAAAGTTTGCGCACAGGGATTAAAACTCACCATCGGTGGAAAAAATCATCGTATCCCCCATGGTTGCTACGAGCGCTGGCAATGGCTGTAGTTGCAAACTCGGACGAATATGATGCGGTTCCGGCCAAATGATATTTGACCGTACGAAGCTAATCCGTCGTCACGAAGAGCAGACAGAAATTTGCAGGCCGAATTTCGGGGTCATCACGCTTCACTCTCCACAACCCTAGTGAAGGGAAGCCACATGCAGGTGAAACAGCGGAAAGGTAGTAAGAGCGTAAGGCTGAAGTAGAAACGTGAGTACGAAGGGAGGAGCAGGAAGTAGGATGTACTGAAACAAAAACGATATGGTGGCCAACAATGTCCCTCCCTCCAGTTGTTTCTTGGCAAATAATCATCGGGCCTCTCTAGGTTTCTTCTGTCTGTCTGCTGTCATTCTTGTCATATGCGCGGTACAGATGGCCGTTGCGCGCTGAAATTCTGGATTCCAGACCAGAGGCTGGACGAACCTGATGAAGTCTCGCGAGGGGGAGCCGGAGAGGTTCTTGTACTGATGCTGTTTGTTGTCTCCCTCCCTCCCTGACCTGGCGAGGAATCAAAAGCCTGATTGGTTTCCAAGCCTGGGATGCAGATACGGTGAGGAGGCTAGCCTGCCACGGAGGCATGGGAAAGAGGGGTTTGCCAGATTCTAGAGCGACCAGGTGCAGGGCAGGGAGTGTTCGCTTCGCCCCACTGGCATCACACAAAGGCCACGAGGTATGGTATGGGGCGAAACTCGGCTGGCCCAGCAATTAGAACAATGACCGACGAAGACCGTACGGACGGAGTGAAGAGACGGAGTGCCCGATAGACCTGATCAATCCGTCTGACTCTGGTAGACCAGCAAGTAAATTCAATACACTTTTTAGTATATTCCTAGTAAGGTAGTACAGTCTAGACAGAATGCATATCTCTAAGGAAACAACTTTTCCTTACATCGAGTCACACTGCATAGCGCTTACACGACTGTACCCGCCACTGTACACCCAACAGTAGCCCGTTACCACCTCGCAACACTCGCCTCGACACTGTTCCCGCCAACTTGCCGTTCGCGCCCAAACCACTCGGCTCGGCTGGTAACCCGCGACCCGTCCCTACGCCTCGTAATTCCCAACCTCGATATCAGGCCCGACAGGGCACCCCTTCGCGAGCGCGTTACCGTTGCCGAAATGCTTTGCCTATATAACAATTCGCTTATGCCTTCGCTCATTGTATTGTTTTGCCTCGATATGTTGAGTTGTATATTTGCATATCCTCTATAACTGCCTACAGCTTGCTAGTGTACTAGATTAGTTATTAGAACCAACGGCTGGTGGTGTACCCTTTCCCCATTCCCTTTCCTATATCTTGTAACCTTCTTTCTAGTGCAACCCCTCTTTAGCCAACTTCTCGATCCTCTCGCCATGTTTCTTCTTAGCTTCTCAAACCCTAGTTCCTAACTACTATGAGCCTATCTTAACATGGTATTAAGAGCGATACGTTCCTACAGACCTTTCTATAATGGGCCCACCTCACTTCCGTCATGCCTTCATCCCGCGTTCTGCCCGTGGCGAACGCGCCATCCACCGTGGCGAAAGCGCCATCGACCGTGGCGAACGCGCCAGCAGTGCGCAGCCCGTCACGCTCCCCGTCACACAGCAATCACGGCGCACAGCAGCAGCTGCACGCACAGAAGCACGCACAGCCGCATGGAGCAGCAGCATGCACGCCCGCGCGCGTAGCAGTCGCCCGCGCGCGCAGCAGCAGTACACACAGCAGTGCGCGCAGCAGCAGCCGCGAACGCACGCGCAGCTGCACGCGCACGTGCAGCAGCCGCCCACGCGCGCAGCGGCACGTGCACGCGCAACAGCCGCCCGCGCGCGCAGCACGTAGATGCACGCGCAGCCTCTGCTGCAGCCGCGCGCCGCTACGCCCCGTCTCTCTCCCTGCCGCGCCTGCTGGTGTGGGGGGAAGGGTGAGGGGGTGGCGGGGGTGACCAGCAAACCGCCACCAGCTGCCCCCCTCTCTTCCTTTCTCTCCCTGCAGCACTTGTCGCTGTGTGGGGGGGGGGGGGGGGGGGAGGGAGAAGGGTGAGGGGGTGGCGTGAAAGTCCAGCAACACCCTTCTCTCCTCTCCTCTCCTCCAGCCGCACCTCCTCCTCCTCTCTCCTCTCCTCCAGCCGCATGTCCTCCTCCTCTCTCCTCTCCTCCAGCCGCATCTCCTCCTCCTCTCTCCTCTCCTTCAGCCGCCCCTCCTATCTCCTCTCCTCCAGCCGCCTCTCCTCCGCTCTCCTCCTGTGCACCACCACTAGCTTCCTCCTCCTCACCAACAGTTGTGTTTGCTCGCAGATGGCGAGTGACCAGCATCCTTCGCCCTCCGTTTTAACTCTCCTGCTCCTGCTCCGTTCTGGCGTTTACAGGTGCTACCGGTCAGCCACCGCTGTTTCTGTGCATATCCCAGCTTCAAGCAACCGCTCTCCAGGCGACCTGCTGCCAGACACCACTAGCTATAGCCGTAGGCAGTTACGGGGGTGTGTTGAATTGTATATTTGCATATCCTGTATAACTGCCTAAAGCTTGCTAGTGTACTAGATTAGTTATTAGAACCAACTGCTGGTGGTGTACCCTTTCCCCATTCCCTGTCCTATATCTTGTAACCTTCTTTCTAGTGCAACCCCTCTTTGGCCAACTTCTCGATCCTCTCGCCATGTTTCTCCTTAGCTTCTCAAACCCTAGTTCCTAGCTACTATGAGCCTATCTTAACACGATAGTGCAATCTTCGTTCGCTCACTCAATTGCACTTGTAACAATATCGCACTAAGGAACAACGTCCCTTTTGGGTCCATTCGAATGTATTGTTGGCCCCATGTACGAAACTATATGCAACAATTCTAACCTAAACCCGAAGTCAAGTACCATTTTGTCAAATTGTATTTGTTCTCTGTAGGCTGTAGTGGGGCATTCATCTGCAGTTTCGTGTATCTCTAATTACGATGCACTTGGCTCACTATCGCGGATTGAGAACAGCGGAATGATGTGTGACTAGCAGCAGTGAGATAGAATGATGCAACCCTAAAAGGGTTGTACCCTATATGGGCCCCACTACAGCCTACAAGCAGATAATGCATTTTGACACACCCCCATAGGCAAAGTGGGGGATAGCAAGAACAACCAACGGTCACAAGACCAGTCAAGCAAAGAACAACCAACGGTCACAAGACCAGTCAAGCAAAGAAGCAAAGCAACGCAAAGCTCAGGGTGAATCTCAAGATCACCACGCAGTATGAGCACAAGCAAGTGGCCACAAGGCCAGTTCACATGCAGAGTTATAGAAGCACAAGCAGTACAACGATCACAACCTAGCAAGAGTAAGCATGCATGTGTATATATATATATCACAATACAAGGCAAAGTCAAGCTGTAAGCAAGTGAGGCAGAGTAGGCACAAGCCTTAGAGCAGTACAGAAACGCTGGTGATCACCAGACACAAGTGCCTTGGTGAAAATATCAGCAGTGTTGGCCCGTGAGGCCACGTAAGTAAGGCGGAGTTGACCACGCTACTGCAAGGTGATTCGTTCTGTGCTCCAATCTCTGCTCCCGACACAAGGCAATCGTGGCCTTGTTGTCGACGTACAAAACCGGAGGAGAACGAGGCCGCTCACCCAAGTCTGTCGGCAGGTAGGTCAGCCAGTGTAACTCCTGAGCAGCCATAGCCCCAGCGTAGATCTCGGCCTCACATCTGGAACTAAGTACAGAAGACGAGCGGGTGGACCTCAAGGAGACAGAACCAGCGCCGAGACTGAAAGTGTAACCCTGTGACGACCGCTGAGTCTCCTGATCGTCGGCCTAAGAAGCGTCTGAGTGTCCCGTGAGTACAACTGGACCCCGTCCTCCAAGCACAAGCCCCATGCCCGATGTACTGCACAAGTAACGCACCACCCTCCTAGCACCCCGCCAGTGCTCTGGTCGGTGTCTCCCGGGCCCAACGTAGCGCACCAGGATGATGAGTGGGTACGCGAGGTCAAATCGAGTGCAAGTCATCAGGTACATGAGGCAGCCCACAAGCTCTGGATACTGACCACTCGGCTCTACGGACTCGTCTAAAGGTAGAGCTGATTACGAGTGGCCTGTAGGCAGAGGAGTGGCCTGTGGCGAGGAGAACTGAAAGCGGAAGCGCTGAAGGACCTTGTGCACCATGTGTGACTGAGTCAGAGTGATGGTGCGCCGTGCTCTGTCCCGGGTGATCTGCAGGCCAAGATAGCTCCGCAACTTACCCAGGTCAGTGCAGGTGTGTCTATTCTGTAGCTCCGCCTTCACAAGGGCCAGTGCCTTGGTGTCAGCAGTAGCAAAGTCCAAGTCGTCGACGTACACGAGGATGTAGAACGGCGGCAGAGAAGGGCCGGTGCGCAGAAACAGTGACGGGTCAGCAGTCGAAGGGGCAAACCCAAGAGCCGCAATTGTAGACCTCAGTGTGTCATGCCACTCGCGGGGCGCCTGGCGGAGACCGTAGACTGGCCGCCGGAGGCTCCACAGGGTACCCTCAGGAAACGACCCAGTGAAGCCAGGTGGGCGGCACAGCCAGATCTCCTCGTGAAGGCTGCCCTGCAAGAAAGCTGTGGAGAAGTCGAGCGAGTGCAGCTCGTAGTCACGGTGTGCTGCAACGTGCAGTAACACCCGAAGAGTGGTCATCTTCGGGGTGGGGGAGAAGGTCTGGAAGAAGTCGACCCCCTGTCGCTGACTGAAGCCTCGTGCAACGTAACGCGCCTTGAAGGCAGGCGGACAACCCGGCGGCCGCTTCACCCTGAAAATCCACATGCCATCGACTATGTTCGCCCCAGGAGGGAGAACCTCGTTGACGTAGGTGCCCGTGGACTTCTAGGATGCCATCTCTGCGTCCATGGCTGTCTGCCACTGAGAGGAGTACTGACCCGAAATCACCTCTGCGTAAGAGCGCAGGGTCGGGATGTCCAGTGCATCCGGGTCTCCCTCAGGGGCAAGCAGCATGGCAGCGAGATGAGGGACAGCAGCCGCAAGGCACTCAAGATCAAACAGCCTGTCCTTAAGGTTTTCCCAGCCAAGGGCAAGCTCACCCCCGAAAGGACGGACAAGAGTCAGGCTCTGACTAAGTAACAAGACTCGCAAAGTAGTCAAGACGACAGGCAGAAGCGAAGTCAACAAGCTCAGTGACTAAGGCAGACGCAGCAGTAGACGCAAAGAAGGGTCAGTGACAAGTGTGGCCAGCACACGCGTGACACTAGGACTAGTAGCACGAGCAAGGTCAGACTCAGGGTCAGGAACGTCAGGAAAAGAGGACGCTGGAGGAGACGGCAGGGCAACACGCTGTGGAACAGAGGAAGGACGATGTGCCATAGTGTGTGTGCCGAGGACAGGTGGAGGACGAACACGACGAGTACGACTAACAGTGCGAACAGGCAAGGCAGGACGAGACGCAGGCTCACGACGCACTGTCAGGGAGTCTGTCTGCTCAGGGTAAGGAGAAGGAGCAGGCAGTGGAGAGCCAGGCTGTAACTGCGGCTGTGACTGGTCAGGCGGAGGACACAGTAGAGGTGGAGTAAGGCCAGTGGAAGACGGAAGATTAAGAACATGGCGAAGTGCCGAGCCAGGTGGTGGTAGTGACGACTGTGGCTGCGGCAAGAAAAACGGTTGCCGCTGCGCAATACCCACAGTACCAGCACCTCCAGCACCCCCAGCTCCAGTACCTCCAGCACCAGCACCTCCAGCACCAGCACCTCCTGCACCGACAGCTCCAGTACCTCCAGCACCTCCAGCACCAGCGCCTCCAGCACCAGTATCTCCAGTACCTCCAGCACCTCCAGCACCAGCACCTCTAGCACCAGCACCTCCGACACTTGCACCTCCAGCACCAGCTCCAGCACCTCCAGTAGCAGTGCCTCCAACACCAGTACCTCCAGCACCAGCTCCTCCAGCACCTCCAGCTCCAGCACCGCCACGAGAGCGACCTCGCCAAATAGCCCACTCGCGAAGCTGCTGCGGAGAGAGAGTCTCCTCTCGACGAGACTGCTGCTGCTGTCCACCGCTAGAACCTCCAGCAGGAGCACCCACGACTCCACCACCACTAGTATGCTCCGGACCCCCAGAGCCAGCACCCCCAGACTCAGCACCTTCAGAACCAGCACCTCTTGAGTCAGCACCCCCAGGACCAGCACCCCCAGAGTCCGCACCTCCAGTGTCACCACCCCCAGCAGCACCGGAGTCTACAGGGACAGGCGACAGAGGTGGCGAAGACGGACGAGGAAGAAAGCCAGGAGGGGTCTCCAAGCGCGGTGAGCGGCGAGTGGCTGCTGTGTCGTCAGCAGCAGAGTCACCCCTCTCAGCTGGGCCAGAGGTGTCAGAGGATACCTCCAAAGGCTCAACCAAGAGGGGTGGGTTAACCTGAGACACACCTGAGGGAGCAGGACCCTGTGGGGGGAGGGGGTCTACAGGGGGGGGACCTGGAACCAGGAAGAGAGGCGGGGGGGGGGAAGGGAGAAGTGCTGTGAGGGAACAGACGGTAGAAGCCAACCGACTCGTCAAATGTGACGTCCTGGGAGGACAGGACTTGATGCGTGGCTGGGTGGCGCGTCGGTGGGAAAGCCAAGGAAGACGCAGCGAGCGGTGCGAGAAGAGAGCTTGCCCGCGGTGGTATCGCGGACAAGGGAAAGCGAGCCTCTGACCCGAAACGCCGACGCATCGCCAACCTTCCCCGTCCAACGCAGTGTAGGCGAGGTCTCTGGCACGGAGACACAGGGCCAGAGGTTGAGCTGATGCGCGGCGTATCGGACCGCAAAGGGCAACAGAACATGGGGAGCAGCCGCATGGATCATGGAGGTGCGAGCAACCTCCATGATCAAGCCAATGCGGCGCTCAGCAATCCCATTATGCTGTGGAGAGGCCGGAAGCATGAACGACTGGGTGATGCCCTCCTCACGACAAAATTCCTCAAGGAGGCGGGAGGAAAACTCACCACCTCGGTCAGAGTGCAGTCGCAGGACCAAGAGGTCCTGCTGGAACAGTGCGCACAGCTGGCGGCGGACAGCGCGGATCTCAGGGATCAAGACACTGCGGACATCCGCCTTGCTGTGCAAGGGGAAGACCGTGGTGTAGCAGGTGTAGTCGTCAACAACCAGCTGAAAGTAGTGCTCTCGGTCCTATCCACGGACGCGGGCAGGGCCCCACACGTCCATATGGAGAGTCTGCAGAGGAGCACTGGTCGGAGGAAACGAGGAGGAGTGAGGAGCGGCGCGATGCCGCCCCTCGACGCAGGGAAGGCACGGCGGTGCAAGCGACCGCGGGAGCGGGGGCAGGGACCTAGGTAGGCCAGAGACAAGGAGACGGGAGTGCATGCTACGCAGACGTGGCAGGGAGGGGTGACCCAGACGGTGGTGCCAGAGGAGAGACGGGTGCGTGAGTAACCGACACGAGCAAGACGCAGCAACCTGACTGGACGTAGCTACCTTGCAGACTCAGTGGTCAGTGTGTACAGGCCAGACCCGGGTCTCCGAGTGAACGTGGCGAGGTGGGCGACAGTCCGTGAATCCGTACAGATCGCCACAAGCTCACCCCCAGGAGTAGTCACAGTGACAAACTGGTCCTGGAGGACAGCGTTACTCACCAAGTTCGTAGTGAACGAGGGGAGGTGGAGACCTGTGAGGGAGCCGGAGGGGGCTGCCGGACACGGGAGAACGGTGGAGCCACGGGCAACAACCGGGCCACCAGAGGGGTCAGCCAGAGTGAGGGACAGGTGCAATGAGCGGCGTGACGGTGGTGCAGTCGCGGAAGAAGCAGTGAGACGCACCTGAGTCAAGCGTGAAGGTGTGCAAAGCCTCCGCAGGAGCTTCATCTGTGCAAGTAGGCTCACAGGCACCTAGACTAGTAGCCTCTACACCACCAGGGACGCGTCGCTGGGAAACCCACTCCTGAGGCTGCTGCGGCGAGAGGGTCTCTGGCTGACGCTGCTGCCGTTGCTGTCCACCCCTAGAACCTCCGCCTCCACCAGCGGCACTACCTGTACAATCATCGCCCTCCTCCTCCTCGTCCCACTCCCCTTCGTCATTACTCTCCCCTCCCTCGTCTGACCCCCCCTCCTCGTCTTCCTCCGCATCCCTGTCTCCCCCCTGCTCCTCTTCCTCTCCCACGTATTCCTCCACACGGCCTTGCCCTTCCTCCCCTTCCTCCCCCTCGTCCCCCTCCCTTTCCTCCTCCGACTCCTCTCCCTCTCCCCCCTCCCCTTCTTCGTCTCTGCCGCCTTCCGTCCCATCCTCGGCGGATCCCGCTTCTCTAGGAGTACGCTCGTCGTCCGCGCTTGGAGTCGATTCGCTACTCCTCCAACGCGACTTGAACGAGCTCCACCAGTTCCGCCATTGATCAGATCTCTCTCTTGCTAAGGCCGTTGCCATTTCCCCGTGAACCGCGCTACCTAAGTCCAAGCCGCCTGCCCCTTGCGCTTCCGCTCCTTGCTCCGCCTCTTGTATCTCCGTCCTTTGCATTTCCCTCTGTAGCTTCTGCGTCCGGGATGGCGTTACCTCTCGCCTTGATGTTTCGTCAGCCTTCGCAACGTCCCCTCTCTCTTTCGCCAACGACGTCAAGTCAGGTACTTTTTCTTCGTCAGGTCTCGACTCCCGTTGTATCCTAATACTACCTTCGTCAATATTTCCCGACGCACTGTCCGGCAGCGAATCATCTACCTCCGGTAACGGAATTTGTAATGATGCTTTGGAGGATATCTCAATCACGGACGTCTTCTTACTGCTGCTGGAGGTACTGGTGCTGGTGGCGCTGGAGCTGGAGGTTCTGGAGCTGCTGAGGGTGCTGGCGCTGGAGGTTCTGGAGCTGCTGCGGGTACTGGCGCTGAGGGTTCTGAGTCTGCTGTTGCGCGGTTTCCTTGGAGTAGCCGCCTTCGTCCGCGTGTGCCTCTCACCTCGCAGCAGCTGCACGACTGGTACGGTCGCCGTCAGGGTCGCGCTTCTGGAGCTCGGAGCTCTGCCGCTGGAGGTACTTCTGCTGACGTCACTGGAGCTGGGAGTGGTGCTGGTCCCGGAGGTGCTCGTACTGGAGGTACTGGAGCTGCTGGGGCTGGAGGTGCTGAGCCTGAGGGTGCTGCTGCTGGAGGCACTGAGGCTGGAGACCCTGGGACTGGAGGTGCCGGTTCTGGGGGTGCTGCTGTTGGTGGAGCTGGTCCTGGAGGAGCTGGCGCTGAGGGTTCTGGAGCTGCTGGAGGTGCTGGAGCTGCTGGGGGTACTGGAGCTGCTGGTGCTGGTGTCACTGCACAGCCGCGCCTGTTCTTCGCTCCACCGTCTCCGTCGTCTCAGCCACCGCCTGACTCTGTGCTTCGCCAGGTTCTTAGTCTCCCTTCATCTATTGGTCTTCCGTTACAGCCTGGCTCACCGCTTCCTGCTCCTTCTCCTTACACTGAGCAGCTAGAGGGTCTTACTGAGCGTCGTGAGCCTGCGTCGCGTCCTGTCTTGCCTGTCTGTTCTGGTCGTTCCGGTCGTCGTGTTCCTCGTCCGCGACTGCCGGCTGTCCCCGACACCCGCCTCGTAGTCCGTCGTCCTTCCTCTCCTCCGCAGCGTGTTCCTCTGCCGTCTCCTCCTGCGTCTTCTCTGCCTGTCGTTGCGGACCCCGAGTCTGACCGGTTTCGTGCTGAGCACCCTACTGTCACGCGTCTGCTAGCCACTGTTGTCACTGATCCGTCGTTTGAGTCTGCTGCTACATCTGCCTTAGTTGCTGAGCTTGTTGACTTTGCTGCTGCCTGTCGTCTAGACTACGCCGCTAGTCTTGTTGCTGAGTCTGAGTCTGTCTGTCCTCCGTCCGTCGGGGGTGAGTGTGCTCTTAGCACGGACGTCCTTAAGGACAAGCAGGAGGACCTTGAGTGTCTTGCAGCCGCTGCGCCTCATCTCGTGTCCATGCTGCTTGCCCCTGAGGGAGACCCGGATGCTCCAGACATCCCGACCCCGCGCTCTTACGCTGAGGCGATCGCGGGTGAGTACTCCTCTCAGTGGCAGACAGCCATGGACGCAGAGATGGCATCCTGGAAGTCCACAGGCACCTACGTCGACGAGGTTCCCCCACCTGGGGCGAACATCGTCAGTGGCATGTGGATTTTCAGGGTGAAGCGGCCGCCAGGCTCTCCGCCTGCCTTCAAGGCGCGTTACGTTGCACGAGGTTTCAGTCAGCGAGAGGGAGTAGACTTCTTCCAGACCTTCTCCCCCACCCCGAAGATGACCACTCTTCGGGTGCTGCTGCACGTTGCCGCTCAGCGTGACTACGAGCTTCACTCTCTTGACTTCAGCACAGCCTTCTTACAGGGCAGCCTACACGAGGAGATCTGGCTGCGCCGCCCACCTGGCTTCACTGGGTCGTTCCCTCCTGGTACCCAGTGGAGCCTCAGGCGGCCGGTCTACGGTCTCCGCCAGGCGCCACGTGAGTGGCACGACACACTGAGGACGACACTTGCGGCTCTTGGGTTTGCTCCGTCGACTGCTGACCCGTCGCTGTTTCTGCGCACCGACACTTCGCTGCCGCCGTTCTACATCCTCGTGTACGTCGACGACTTGGTCTTTGCCACTGCTGACACTGAGGCTCTCGCCCTGGTGAAGTCGGAGCTGCAGAAGAGACACACGTGCACAGACCTGGGTGAGCTGACAAGCTATCTTGGCTTGCGGATCACCCGGGACAGAGCACGCCGCACCATCACACTGACTCAGTCACACATGGTGCAGCAGGTCCTTCAGCGCTTCGGCTTCACCTGGTCCTCGGCACAGCACACTCCTCTGGGTACAGGTCACTCGCTCTCAGCTCCACCTTCGGACGAGTCCGTAGAGCCGAGTGGTCCTTACCCAGAGCTAGTGGGCTGCCTCATGTACCTGATGACCTGCACTCGTCCTGACCTTGCGTACCCTCTTGGCCTTCTGGCTCGCTACGTGGCTCCTGGTCGGCACCGAAAGGTGCACATGGATGCTGCTAAGAGGGTGCTACGCTACTTGTGCAGTACATCGGGCATGGGGCTCGTGCTTGGAGGACGGAGCGACGTTGTCCTCACTGGGCACTCAGACGCTTCTTGGGTTGACGACCAGGCTACGCAGCGGTCGTCTCAGGGTTACACCTTCAGCCTTGGCTCTGGTTCAGTTTCTTGGCGTTCTACACGCTCGTCTTCAGTTCTCAGCTCCAGTTGTGAGGCTGAGATCTACGCCACAGCCATGGCTGCACAGGAGTTACGCTGGCTCACCTACCTGCTGACCGACTTGGGAGAGAGGCCTCGTTCTCCTCCAGTGCTGTACGTCGACAACAAGGCTGCCATTGCCTTGTGTCAGGAGCACAGACTGGAGCACAGAACGAAGCACATCGCTCTGCGTTACTTCCTGGCTCGAGAGTTGCAGCAGCGTGGTCAGCTTCGTCTTGCTCACGTGGCCACTCGGGCCAACACTGCTGATATATTCACCAAGGCGCTTCCGTCTGGTGATCATCAGCGTTTCTGCACTCTGTTAGGCCTTGTGCCCACGTTTCCTCACTTGCTGTAGACTTTGCTTGTACTGTGATCTATATATATACCTGCATGCTTGCTCTGCTAGGTAGAGATCACTGTGCTGTTGTTGTTGTTGCATATATACCTCTGCATGTGAACTGGCCTTGTGGCCCTTTGCTTGTGCTTAGTGTGTGTGGTGACGTTGTGATTCACCCTGAGCTTGATTTGCTTCTCTTGACTGGTCTTGTGACCCCTTGCTCTCCCCCACTTTGCCTATGGGGGTGTGTCAAAGTATATGCATGTTATATATGTGTAGGCTGTAGTGGGGTAGCCAATATGGGGTACAGCCCCTTTTAGGGTTTCATACTTGTACCCAACTCTTTCATAGTTCATTCATTCCTGCTGCTAGATTCTAACAGTTACGAGTGATCGTAGCGTTTGCTCGTGTTCTCTCTACTTGCTTGTTCACAATGCAAACTGACAAGAGTTTCACTGGCAAGGGATTCAACAATGATAGCAATAGCAATGGCAACAAATTACTACATCTGGAACCTAGAAGCCTAGCGACCAGGCAGGTCGACCTCCAGCGCAGCACAGGCGGTGACCTGCAATCAAAGCAGGTCGACGATCTTCCAACGGGGCTGGGAGGCGGCTTGCCAACTCTGCAAGTCGACGACCTGCCAGCGCTGCATCTGCGTGGCTTGCCAATGCTGCAGAAAAGCGGCTAGCCAGCGTTGCAACCGTAGCTGACAATAGCGCGCACGCGCACTCGCTTCGCAGGTGCTTGTAGGCGGTCGAGCACGTTGTGCCTCGTCCCGCCCGTCGTGTAGATGCCGAGTCGGCCACGTGCCGACGATCACGCCAGACGCTCCACGTCGACCTCGGGATACCATCCCGTAGGCCGGCTTCGCCAATGCCTCTGACGGTGAAGCTCGCGCACCTGCCAGGCTTCGCCGTCGAGCAGCTCCCCTTGATCAGTTCGACGCTGCTCCGTCGAGCAGCGCCTCTCGACCGGCACGTCGACCAGAACCCGTCGAGAGCAGGGCCTATTCGACCACCACTCCCGTCGACCACCACTTTGGTCGACCAGGTAGCTCCGAAGACGGCGTCATCCTGGCGGTAGGAGCCCGCCAACTGCTGCACATGCTCGTCGACCGCCCTGGTCGACACCGTCCGCCGACTTACCCACGCCGGCATCCCCACTGGTCGACGAATTCCTTCGTCGACCACCCAAGTCGAATTCGGCCGCCGATCTCCTTCGTCGGCGGCTTCGCAACGGTCTCCGCAGGTCGACCAACTCCGTCGACCTGCTCGCCCAAGTCGGCGTCGACCTCAGCGGGCAGTCGGCTGCACCTCCCGCGCACCCGACTGCGTAGTCGGCTTCGTCCAAGTGAGGACAAAGCCATTTCTCATCAACAAACGCGCCTAAGGAATTTCGCTGAATAATTAAAACAATCGCGACCGTCGGATCGACTTCATCTCAACGGCCGAGGAATTTCGCTGAAAAGGTTGGAATCGAGACCATCAGATCGACTTCTTCTCAACGGCCGATATATGAATCGCGTAAATGTCAACAAGGAAAACTGCGCCTAGAACGGGAACTGCGCTCGACGATTTCTTTAGACTCGCAACAGTCGACCGGCGTGCAAAAATGTATTTCTCTCGTGGAAATCTATTTGCGAATCTTCGGATGGAGGAAATTGGCGATGTACAAGAAATCACGTAGTTACTCGCTGAGCAGGGGCATACACGTGCAGAGCTCTATCGAATCGCAACACTTCTCGCGAACCAGTCCGCAGCTACAGCAGCTCGCGTCACTCGCGATCTACTTCGACGCCATTGGATGCACGATTCCAAACCACGAATCGACAAGATTACGGCTCACAGCGACATTGTTATGTTGTTGTGGGGCTCGTCATTAGAGTGGATTTTCAT